ATGATTCGGAGCTAACGAAGCAGATCAGAGAGAAGCAGCCTTTTACATAATGCCATTGCATCAGCACTAATATGACTAATCTATTTGGACAAGTAACGATGAACTTCTGAATGGCTTATTGCAGGATGCTTGAGTAACTCGGTTAGAAACAACAACCTTTGTACTGGCGTGATAATCTTTTTATAAGAACAAGTGGCTAGGTTCTCTTCAGAAGTTGTACTATTTTTGTTTCGGAGCAGTGGGATGACAATTCTTGGGGCAATGCGTTAATAAAAAAAAAAAAAAAAAAAAAAACAAACCCAAAGGAGGAAAAAAAACCCAACCAACTGAACTTCGTTGTAATTGCAGGCTGGAAAACATTATTTTGGATCAACGTCTGTGGATACAGAAGAGAGGGGAGAAAGGGACTGGGGTTGCACAGTGACACAGGGTGCATGTCGGGGGACACATAAAACTGCTAATGGCTGCCTATAGCAAGTTTGCACCTTTTGCTTGAAAAAAGTTAGGTATTTCTTAATTTACCCATAAACTAAAGAATTAATAAAGAAAAATAGCCCAAAGTTTCAGTGTACTTGGGTTTTCACAGACTCTAGGCAAATCTGCGTTAGTTCCAGGTCAAGGGGCCTGGTGGCTGAGTATTTTTGTATTTGGTAGATTCACAAGCTCCTTTTACCTTCCTGAGCATGTGCTTCTGGCACCGTTCTTCTAGCACAGCACATAACATAGAGGGCTGAATCTCTAACGATACTTGGACTGAACGCATGGGGTTTTTTTCCTCCACAGATTGGTGGAATGCTCTTGGCTTGTCCGCTTTAAAATGTTACTTCTGATGTGCTGTCCTGTGGTGCTGGCTAACTCTCAAGGAGAGGAGACAGTAAATCCAATAGCTTAATATATTATATAAAGTATGGGTGCTGGTCCTATCTATGTAATTTTATTAAACTGAAAGCTGCCTTTTGTCAATAAGAGTGGTACTGTTGCTTTATACTACTTCTGTTGAAGCTGGGTAGGCTTTTTTAAACCTCATAACAAGACAGTATACCAGAGGCAGACATCCTGGTTAGGTGGGAAGCGTGGAGCAGCAAGGGAGCCTGCAGCATTCCCACTTTTTCCAGCCTGGTACGGCTTTTGTTTTTGTCAGGGGTGCATCTGCAGCAAGAAGCTATCTGTGCCATGCTGGGTGAGTCTTGTACTTGATAGCATCTTTTATCTTTCAGTAATACACCTCAGAGAAACGAGTCTTAAATGTGTTTTGTTCCTCTTTTGTTTTCATTAAATAACAAATTTACTAACGCCTTGGAGCATTACTGTCCTTTAGCCTAAGGAGGAAGTTAGAAGAGTACACAAAGTAATAGCCTTATTCACCAGGAATCTTATTATTTGCTGAAGAGTTGTGTAGATAAAGCTGAAGGTGACTTGATAAGGAGTCCTGCGCTTTGAAAGGACAGATTTCCTGAATATGCTTTTTTCATCTTTTGGCCAGATCTCCATCTAAAACTGCTGCTGTCGCATTTTTACCTTTCAGCAGGTTTCCTTTACAGATGAGCTCATGAGGCTGGCTGATGCATCTCTGGGAAGATTATATTTAGTCACGGGGAAACTATCTGTTGCAGCTATTTCCAAGAAACGTAAGAGTAGTCCTGAGCTACTGTATTGGGGTTATCATTGTGACAGTACCTAGATAGGACTATGAAGTTTGCAAATAGATTTTGAAGAAAGTCTGATTTGGTGTATTGAATTGTATTTACTTTGCTCCCAAATGGATTTTTCTCCTAATGAGAGTTGAATGAACACAGCTGCTCTGCTTGCAGCTTGCATGGAAAGCTTTAAAAGTTACTTTGTCTGTATGCTTTTTTCTTTTTTTTTTTTTTTCCCCCTGAAATGGTAAGCAAAGCATAAAATTTAGAAGGCAAGAAAAGCTGGGGATAGAAGGTTGCATTTCAGTCCAGTATCTTAAGGCCTAGCATAGTGCTGTCAGATCATTTCCATGTTCCTCCACAAGCAAACTTTACTGTGGGAACACGAGAATTTCCTTTCCATGCGTTGAATCCTGTGTGGTGAAAACTTAATTCCACGTGTGGATTCAGGATGTCTTTTTGTATTAGCTTTAGAAGTTTTGGAAAAGAGCACCTTTGTGTTTGTTACTAAGTAGCTGCTTCTAGAAAAGAAAAAAATTAATCCCTGTACAATTTTTTTTTCAAAGGTGGTCTACTTTCCTACTTTAAAATGGCTAAGTTACATAATTTGGCTGTTTCAAATTGAGCTGATGAGACCAATATCTCTTTCAGTTTAGACTTTGAAGAAGAAAGTTTCTCAATTAAGAAGCAAAGAAGTTAATCCAAAGAAGCTATGTGATGATCAGCTAATGATCAGGTTCTAGTGGACTGATTTTTTTCAAAGGTAGTCAAAGGATTTTGAAACTACACAAAGTCCTTGGACTCCATGATTTAGTAAGACAAAACCTCAGCGACAGCTGCTAACTCATCCCCTCCTTGGAGCTGAAATCTCCAACTCAAAAGTTCGGACTAAGCCCCTCTTTTGGAGAAGGGCGGTTGGTTTTGCCTCGTAGCAAGTTCTCGTTGGCTTGCTGCGCGTGTTTCAGAGGGTTAGAATGGGCTAGCCAGCTTTCCTCAGAGGTGCATTACAAACTTGAACACCTTTTTTCCAAAGCTTGTGATGACAAGCCCTCAATTGATTATTTCAAATTTAGAAATCCGTCAAGCCTCCATGACTGATACAGCACTCTTAGTTCCTGGTTGAGCATTGGTCTGATGATGTGCTTTGTATCGTTTTTACCTTACATTTAAGGTAGCTTCAGGAAAATGATCTCTACCATGTTAAGTAACTGTGACCTTGGTTTACGTGGTAAGCCTTCCTAGCAGGACTTTGGTCTGCTCATTTCATCCCTGGGAAACCCAGGAACCGCTGCTGAAGTCAGCTTGTGGAGGCAGTGGTGAATTCTGCCCTGGAAGTAACAAAACCTGAAGCAAAAGAATAGCAAAAGCATTTCAAGGAGTGGGGGGGAAAAAAAAGTATTAACAAACAGTAACTAAAGGAAAAAAGATTTAATTCTCCATGAGAACAGAGGCCAAGAAACTTGCGGGAATGATTTTTGTTGAAATGCTAAGTTGCATAAATGTTTGAGTGCAGCTACTATGCTTGCTCAAAGCCTCTCTGTTTATGAACAGTCAAGACAACAGTACGCTTTTGTAGGAAAAAGACAAATAATTAAAGTAAATGTGAACCAAAATGTTTTTAAACACACCTCATGAGTTCTCACATTACATTAACAATTCTAATGACAAATAGTTCAGTGGAGCAGCAAGAAAAAGTACGTCTAAACAGCTTTTTATACTACGAGTTAGTATGCAACATGCAAATTGGATGAGGTAAATGACATAGTTCCTTTCCCTTAATTACATTCCAGGTCACTGGCTTACTTTGCTTCAAAAACCAGCGGGAGGCCACTACAAAAACTCAGATTTATGCGTAGGACTTGGAGCAAGACAAACCGGGGCAATCAGGGGAAACCTTTCAGTTCCCTGCCTTGGAGGGGCAGTTCTCCCCCTCATCCCTACTTCCCATGAGACCCCTGCAGGCGTTCCCCTGGTGTACGACTGTTCCTCAGCCTTCCTCTCCTCACCTGGGTTTGATAGCGAAACCGAAATACTGATGCCAGTGCCCCTTGAAGCTGAAAGCAGTTGTTGATGATCACAGTTGCCTTTTTTGTGTGTGTGTGTCCTCGAGCAGTTGGCTTCCCAAGCTCTTGGAGAGGTGCTTCTGCTGGTGGTAGCAGCACGGGTTCCCTGCTCAGTGCTCCAGCCAGAGAAAGCCTGATTTCGGGGCCTCATCCTTCTCCCCGCAGGCATGGCTGTGCACAAGGGCAGGCAGCCCTGTGTGACGATGGCCGTAGCAGTTCCCAGCTCGCTTATAACAGAGCACAGCTTCAGTTGTTTGGGCAGCGATCGCTGACTGAGCAGCTGTTCCCCATTTTCTTTGGGGAACTGGCATGGGGCGAGGGCAGGGGGGGAAGAGATTCAGCAAACTTGGCCTGTTGCCTAATGCCCTGAGCTGTGTTTACCAACACTAATTTAGGTCTGTTTCTTGCGTGAGCAGAGTAATGGACGGGCTCTGGGGACTTGGGCAAGTCCCCTGTATCCCGCCGAGCGCCTCCAGTTCCATCAGCCATCTCACAACAGGCTTAATTTAGGTTGCTGCTGCTAAAACAGTTGTGTCCCATACCTGTTCTTGCAGCGTCCCTTCCTGGAGCGCCATCTCCTCATGTACGCCTTCACACTCAGTGTGCCAGCCAGCGTCTGATGTTAAAGTGTTTTCTTCTCTTCCTGCTTGGTTTTGCTTAAGATTTAAGGGAAGCTCTTTTCAAGCATGGATCCTTCATTTTTAGGTTTGTGCGTATCCAGAATGTGGATGAATTATAGGAGACAATAAATCTGATTGCTTTCTTCATCTTTTTACTGTTTCTGGTAAAAACACTGCATTGAATAATTTTATGGTGTTTTAGCTTAAGTCTCATTCTCCTTTACATAGCTGAACGTGATCTGTCTGTCTAGAAATCTTCTACTAGTTAAAATACCTAGAAACTCGAGTCTCTATTATAAAGTCAGCTAACTTGGCAGTACCGTATATGAAACTTCCATTTAAAAAAAAAAACATCATTGATATGAATACTACTGATCTGAAGTGTAATGGAGTGATGTCGGTTTGGAGGTTGGCAGCGTTTGTCATTTTGTACCCAACATGCTTCCCTGGTGCAAAGCAAATAGTTCCGTTGTAATTAAAATTAATTATTATTAATTAATGATTTTGCTCCTAATAATAAATTTCACTGAACAAAGTTTTGTTACTGCAATATCGTAAATGATACGAAAGTGCTGACAATTCACAGAGGATTAAAAAACAGCTTGCAAGTATAATATATCCTTGACCTCTTCCTTCCCTTCCTTACTAGGGTGGAGATGGAGATATTTGGAACATAAAGAGATATCTTCAGGAGTCTCCGTTCTCCCTCAGAGGAGGGTGAGTGGGCAGAGGAATCAAAAAGATAGTATTTTGGGAAGGATTCTTTTAAAAAATCTATCCAAATGCTTTTAAAGCTTAATCCTGCGAATGTTTGTGAATGAGAGAGCATCACAAACGTTTCCTGTGGTTTTTTTCTTGACAGTGAAGCTTTGAACACATTTTAGAGATACCAGCTCTAGCAGCAATCTCTGAAGAATGGCTGTATGTTGCGGGCGTATTGCTGTGCCCAGTCACGCAGCAGGGCTCTGGGAAGGGGAGGCAAAGGAGGGGATTCCGATCCACCTTCCCTTGTTCCTCCTCGCTATTCGGTTTAGGAAAGTGGTCGGTGGGATAGCACAGGCGGGGGGTTCTGCCATTAGGGTACGTGGTGGTAAAGCTGGGGCCGTTCGCGTTCCTCGGCACGGCGGTGACTTGCGACATGGCTTTCAGAAAAGCAAATGTGATGGGATCCCATTCCCTGGTGAGGAGCCGGGTGCTTAAGGCAATTGGTCAGTTAGAGGGGGTGGATCGAAATGGAGAGCCTGCTCTAAATAAGATCTTGCATATTTTAGGTTTTTCCCCTGATTACAGGGTGGAGGGTTCAGTGCAGTTTTAATAAGATTAAGATGTGCTGAACTCTAGAATGATGTGCATTGGAGGGGAGTGGTTTTGGTTTTGCTGGGGGAGGTTTTTTGTTTGGTTTTACATGCTAGTACTGGACAGGATGGAGGGTGGAACAGTTTGAGTTGCTCTGCTTTTTTTGCAGTAAACAGTTTAAGTGCAACATCTCTATAGCCATAATATTTTTTTTCTGACGGTAGAGAAAGCATTCATTTCTGTGTCAGAAAAATGAAATACTATTATGGTCTGACCACGATCAATGTCCTTAAACAGACTTTCTTGTGCTGTGCATTATACTGAACACTGTCCAGCTGGACTGCTCTTCTCTCTTGGTATTGAGAGGTCTTGGATTGAAATGCCGGAAAGGAAGGTGCTCGACTTTCAGGATGGGGTCCTCAGATATGTGTAGGCACTTCAGGCTTTTCTGGGTGTTATCACTGAGAGGGAGAAGGCTTTGACAAGTAGCCCCAGCTTCAGGTTGATCCTACCAGTGTTGTACAAAGTACTCGTGATGAGTATTTACTGATCCCTTTCTAAAATTATCGTGAACCAGAGTTAAAGTGGTGCTCTGAATAATTTTCAAATTCCTGGGGTTGTTTTTAGCACACTCACTTTCCTGTCAAAGCTGAACTTGTTTTGATTTCTCCTAGATAACTTCCTGACTTAAAAGAGGCTGCAGGAGCTCTAAATCAGACTGTGTACTTGTAAAACTGGACCTTTGTGCAGGCTTTTTTCTCCTCTTGCTATGGGTGTGGAAATTTTCAACATTTTTCTTATAGGGATGTGTAGCATGAAACAAGAAACCTCAGAGTGTAGTCAGCCTTATGAGCTAGCACTTGTGATTCTGCTTTTGCAGACCCTTGGAGTGCTTTGGACAGAAAACTGATGGATTTGGGGATGACTCAGATGTGTGATAGTTGATTTAATTTAAAAAGGGAATGGAAAAAGCCAATCTCTTCTGGTTTTTTTCCTCTCCTTTGTAATAAAACCATATGACATGCACTCCTAGACAATTCCCATATGCTATCCAGTTACTTCTAGTCTCTGTGGTAGAAAAAAGAAGAAACGGTGTCAAACCCGATATCTGTGGGCATGTGATAAATCTTCTCTGCCTCTGTGTCCAAGGGTAGAAAGGCATTGGAAAAATGTTCCCTTTCATGTTTCTTCATGATACATATCTCTCACTCCCCGCTGTTTCCTTCTTCTCACTTTATAAAATCAGCTTTCCTTCCCTTGTCTTTTTTTTTTCCTCAGGAATGCGGTCTGAAGTACAGAGTTTTGGTACAAGTTGCCTTTTACTGCTACACATATTTTCCTGCGTTGGCATACAAGTTTTAATATATGTCAACATAATCCAACCTTTGTCATGTAAATTTAAAAAAAGCAAACTTGAATGACAGAAGTCGATTTAGAGGGAATCGGAGCGTACGTGTTGTTCAGCAACAGAACAAGGTTGTGGGCTATGCGCAGGCAGAAACAGGGATAGTGAAGCTTTCCAAGGGTAGCTGCTGATCCTGTCTCTCCTTTTCCATCATCTAGGCTGCTGTGCGATTCTTTGAAGCTGCTCTTGCTGATAAGAGAGAAGTGAAAAGCAGGGGGGTGTTAGGGGTGTTGTTAGGAACAGTCTCAAGCTTACGGAGTCATAGGAGAGAAGGGGGAAAGAGGCAAGCAGAGTGAGTCCTCCTGGCTTATTGCAGCTCTCACTTCAAGCGGAAGATGTACTCTGTGCCACTTACTAAACTCAGTGCTGCAAACCAAAAAGGCTCTTGCTTTGACTAGCTATTGGGACGGGGGGGGGAAGGTTTGTATAAAAATACTACAAAAATCATATGCATGCACAAATACCAGCTACCGTTATGTGGGGAAGGCAGCCAAGGTATAGATGCAAAATGTGTGAACTTGCTTACCTAGCAAGTTACGAGCAGAATGGCTGATATGATGGAGTAGGATTCATTTATAGGGGCACTGCCCAGCCAGAATTCCTTCCAGTCACAGCATGGAAATCTTGTATTAATGAAGCTGAATTTGAAATGTTTAAGACTAACAGATAATTCTCTCTGACTAAAGTGCTTGTGCTGTTTCTTCCGGGTTTTGTATTTTTCTGTCTTTGTGCAACTTGAAGCAGTCGCTCAATTTTTACCTACTAGTTCCTTTTTTTTATTAATTAGGTAATGCAGCTTTTGATTGCTGATGTTGACAATTCCAAATTCAGCATTCTGGCCTTCTTTTTACAATGCTAAACTTTGGAGGGACTGGAACAGACAGCATATACACCTTTAAGTATTTTTCATATCACAGTTATTTTGGATTTTTTAAACTGGACGTAATTGAGATGTGCTAGTAGTAGCCTTGCAATGCTGTACAGAATTGTTTTGACATAAGCCTATGACATTATCCTATGATAAAACTTGAGTGTAGATTTTGATCTATACAATAATGCTGGTACAGTAGTCTATTGTAGGAAGTGTCATACTTAAAATGCTTTACCTTCACAAGGATTTGGATTACCACATGATTTTAGATACGTTGTAGAATACCTGACTTGTTTCTTCTGATGAAAGAGCAAGGAGGAAATCATTGTACTTGGAACTTGAATACATTTAATGCACAAAACGGTTTAGTCATCTTGCAATTGGTGGAATTTTAGTCTAGAATGCATTGAAAGGTGGCATTTCTGTTGTATATGAAGTTCATATGAAACAGTCCTTGACCTAATGCACATATTTGTTCCTCTGTAGCTTTTTTTAAATGCTTGACTAGCCACATCTCCATCCTCAGGGCGAGGCAGGTAGGTGCAGGGGTGTGTGGGGGTTTGCCGAGCTTTTGCTGGTAAGGAGCACAGCTTTTCTATCTTTCTGTCGTAGTACTAAGACATACAGATGAACTTCTGCCAGGGGCTGTCATTGTTCCTTCTCAGAGGAGCGTGAATTTAGATAGTTATTTTGAGCTTACATTGCTGTGCTTCATGTTGAGCATCTAACACTGATAAAACCTGAAAGCTGCTGTTAACTTCAGTGGAGTCATCAGTGCAATTTTGCTCTTGAATTCCATCAAGACTTCAGCTTTGCCTAAAACTGTTGGGTAGCTCAGAGCTTTTGCCAATACAGCAATTCCTTTAGACAGGGTAAGTATCCTTGGGGATGCCAGGGATTTTACTGTGCTTGTGGCTTCATTGTGCATTGGGAGTATAACAAGTAGAATTCAATTTTGCATGACTTCACAAAAATAAATGTGCATTTCCAGCATTCTGTTCAGCTTTGCTTTATGGGGGCTGAGTAGGGGAGAAAGGGGAAAGATCAGTTGAGCTGTCATTGGGCTCCACCCTACAGAAGCTGAACATGCTCCTATGCAAGTTGTGGTACTACCAGCAAGTTTGTAAGGCTTAGCTTGTTGGCCCCCATCTGTTCAATTTTCACCTCTTTAATATCAGTGCATGCAATTGTAAAACTGTTGAGAAAGTTGGGTTTTCTGAGGCCATCTTAATAAGGGCTAATTCAAAATGTGCTGCTGAAGTATTCTTTTTAAGAAATGTAGACAAGGGCTGTGATCAGATACTGGCACAAATCCTCTCAGTATAAGACTAATTCCGTTTTAAACTTACTTTGAGCAAAAATACTTGGTAAAATATCTCGCTGAAGAACTTCTTCAGTAGCTTCCTTAAATGAATCCTAAGTTCAAGATGAGAAAGTTGTTTTAGGTAGTACTGCTTGGAAGCCTCTAGACCAATATTACAGCTTTTTACAACTTTGTTAAAGCACAGGAGGAAGATGACGGTTTTTTTCTTGATGATTCCTTCTTGGCATGTTTCAGTTATTTTTCCTTGCAGAGGTGGCATATGGTGCCTTCACAAAGGAGTTGGTATTGAGTTTTGCTGCTGAAGAGCAGGCGACTCTCTCCCCTTTATGAGCTTGCTTCAGAACAAAGTATTTGGACATAACAGGACGCAGCCTGCACCCCATTGTGCTTCTAATGCCAGCAGAACTTGGGACATCAAGGGTGCCTTGAGAGCCTCCTTGTTTTGCTGAAATAAACAAACCTGCCTGCACGGAACTTGCTTGAATTTCCTGCAGACAAGTGAGTCGGCCGGGAACACTGCCTCTACATCCCGATGAACTTCCACGGTGCTTGCTTGCATTTAATTGCAAGTAGTGTCCTGTTCACTGCTACGTATCCTACTTTAGCCTGTCGCCTTTATTAAGTCGTCCTAGCGTAGAAGTCGTGCCGGTGAACAATGACTCTGAACTGAACTCTGCTCGATCGCTGTTAGGTTTTTCTTCGAAAGCTTTTGGCTTACGCAGGTTGATACTTAAGTTTTTGACAGTAAAGCTGTGGTGGCCATCTTCCACTGATAAATACGTAACACTTGATAGAGATGCTTTTCCAAATAAAGGAATTTT